TTGGGTACACAGCGAAATTTTTAAAACTCCCCTGGATAATTAATACCAGTGGTGGTCAAGGACTTAAGAAAAACCACAAGTGGAGATGGGATGCCCCAGAGGCGGTAGAGATGCTGTCAGAGTATCTCCTGTCCAAAGACCCTGCTGATCACCAATGTTCATAGCACATACTGGCTTTCCAGGCTTCTGGGCTGAGCCTTCCCCTCTACCCCGGGGAGGCCAGCACCCTGAGCACAGAACCTGCCATATGATGAAGCAGGAGAGAAGCGGCCTCTCTAGAAGAACATCTCACCCCTCAGAAATGATTTCCTACCTGGAGAATTAACACTTGAAATTCCACAATTGGATAACCATGCCTTTTCTGGAAGCTTTATTTTCTTGAAAAGTATAAGTGCCTTTGGGGAACCACAATAAAACTTATTGGTGATTTGTGTCACTTTGGGCTCATTTCCTGACAGTAGGTTTTGAAAAGAGTTAGCAATAGGATTCTCTCCATGGGAGCTTCTAGAAAGGATGCAGGAACAGACATCTACACTTGGCTTTCTCCAGGTAGCGATTCTCAGCATTGGCCGTAGCTCACCCTGAAAGTAGAGTCAGTCTCTTATTTAAATGTCACTCAATACTCATTGTAATTCCTATAACTACACAGATGATGCTCTTTCATCTAGTTTTGACCTCTCTGTTTGCTACCTGGAAACTTCTTTCAAGCGGATTCACTGCTTGGCTTTCTCCAGGTAGCAATTCTCAGCATTGGCCGTAGCTCACCCTGAAAGTAGAGTCAGTCCCTTATTTAAATGTCACTCAATACTCATTGTAATTCCTATAATTACACAGATGGTGCTCTTTCATCTAGTTTTTTTTTTTTTAAAGATGACCGGTAAGGGGATCTTAACCCTTGACTTGGTATTGTCAGCACCACGCTCAGCCAGTGAGCAAACCGGCCATCGGTATATGGGATCCGAACCCGTGGCCTTGGTGTTATCAGCACTGCACTCTCCCGAGTGAGCCACAGGCCGGCCCTCTTTCATCTAGTTTTGACCTCTCTGTTTGCTACCTGGAAACTTCTTTCAAGCGGATTCACGTCAAGAGAACCAAATGAGAAGCAAATAGAAAAACAAAATTCCTAAGACAGACATGGACAATAACTCACTGAAAACCCTTACAAAGTGAGTAACATAGGTCAGTGTGGTAGCCCTGTATGCCGTTCATCCAGTATGTACGTGTCATTCTGGCTCAGAATCATAAGCACCCATCCTCAGAGAGGCCGGTCCCGGATTGTTCTATAGAGCACTTAGCACCTTCTGAGTGCTCTGTAAATGTTGGGGACATGAGGTTATCTTCAGAGGATGTTTCCTCAGAGGAAGGTGCTATGCAAATACTAGTATCGTTATTCTTTTAGCACAAATTTATAATTGACTTTCTATTAAACACTGCAGCAAGTTAAATTAATTCAGTATGATTACAGTCATTAAACAAATGCCTGTTAATGACTGCTTTCTTATTTTAGCAATTCCTGAAACCACTGGGGCTCTTGCTCCATTGTGGGATTAATTGGGATGCACAACCTGTGTCTCGTGACAGAGCTTTGCAGCAACTGGACTATGATTTAAGGCCACTGCTGGACTAATTTACCTTTGAGTTTTTCCTATTGCTCTTGCCATTCCATTAGGTACAATTTACTAGCTCATTATAGCATACACGTAGCTTAAAGCAATTTCTACCTGTTCAAAAAGAAATGTGCTTTTAAAACCAAAACATAGGCAGGAATTCTCCCGAAACTATTCTCATGATGCTGAAATTAACCAAAATGATAGGGACAGTAATGGTTCTAACCTGTTTTGACATTGGAATGATTGCCCCAAGAATTACTTGCCATCTTAACAAGAAGGACAGAAATGGTTAAGTCCTTAAGGCTGTGAGTGAAAAACTCTGCCTGAGAGAAAAGCTATGTAAGATGTCCCTGACAGGTGTGGATGGAGAAAGGCTGCCCTCTTTAAGCCACTCTTTGCATTCAAGGTCATCTGTCTGGTGCCACCTTAGAAACGGCCTGATTCTGTAGAGGACATTGAATGATAACACCCTGCAAGTCAGCTGACTGCTGTGTCATAGCTGCTGCTTTCTGCATTATCGCAAATGCCAGCTCCAGCCCCTGCAGTTTCCTAGTCGCAATGCGGCAAAGCAGAGGTGTACAACTAGGCACAAAGCGAACGAGTTTTAAAGTTTTATTTTCCAGCTACTACGTAGCATTTCTTACATGAGGAGTATTTACCTTGGTTTAGCCAGGAGCAGAGATGCAGTCTGAACGTACATGAAGGCTTCTAGCTTTGCAGCGTGAATTCTCAGCTGAGCAGGTGCTGCCCACAGCCTTGTAACCAAGCTGCCTCTGATGGAGCCCGGCTGGTTTCCCACCACTTGGGTGAATAGTTTGGGGGCTTCTTATGCCACGCTGCTCTACCTGCAGGAGTAAAGGCTAGGACAAAGGAGATGGTGCTTGCCATGGTTTGGCTGGCTGGGGCCTGTGCAAGCGACTCACCGCACTGACGCTCTGTGACTCCCCAGCTCACGTTTAAGGCTGGTGACGGGGGCTGGCGCAGATCCCCCCCTCCTCAGTTAGGACACGGTTTAAAGGAGAAACCAGAATCACTGACCTAAATCCATCCCAGTCCTCTCTGGATGCGGGACAGCTGTCGACTAGCAGTGACACAACCAGCCATCAAGTGGAGAGCCGCTGCGATTGCAGTCTGTGTGCAGGTGGAGCCTGGGAGAATGACAATCTAATTTCAGTCATCCGATGGCTTCTTCTCATTTTCCTACATAATCATGCTCGCTAAGGGTGCTGTTGTCTGGATTAGTCTGCCTGCCATGCAGTCCTCGTCAGCTCTGGCTGGAAATCAGGGTGCCAGGCAAGGCTGCGATAGCACTGGCTTCTTTCTGCGTGATGCTATGCAGCTAGGATGGGTCGCACTGACAACAAAGAAGGACGCAGAAAGCACCACTTTCTCCTCTCTTGTGATGTTAGCGGAACATAACTCTTCTTCGCAGTGATGCCCTCCTGTGCATGTGCATGCGTGTGTGTGTGTGCACGTGTATTTTAATTCATCTAATCGAAGAGCCTAACAGATATCATCATGGATGTGGTTTTTAATGATTTGGGGGAAAAAAAGACAGCCTGTGGAGACAGCAATTTGAGACAGCAGCACATTTAGGTTATTGCCAATTTGAAATACTTGGTTTGTGAAGCCGAGCCCTAAGGGACAAGCTCGGTAACTGAGAAAGAGATCGTAGATAAAGAAATAAAAATGACAAGCGTAATGGAGGCTCTGTGAAGGGACTGTCAGAGCATCAGTTCATGGATGGTAATTTCGCCAGGCTGAGATTGAATAATTCATAGATTGAAATTACCCTGCTTTCACCTTTCCATTTAAACTGGCATGATCTGAATCTCTAATAAATTTTCAAGATAAAGTAAAATGCCAATTTGAATCTGAAGAGCTTTTTAAAACCAGATGCTGCATCCTGAATCTTTTGGTATCTTTCACAATTATCCTATGAGAACTGCACTTCATCACGAAGCACCATTACCAGGGAAAATTACTGTGATTACAATAGCAACAATAGAATACCATCAAATGATCTCTAATTTACCTAATTTGCAAAGACTGAGTGGTTTTGATACCCATTGTACGTTACCATGCCCAGCCTCCGTGGATCTATCTCGCACTGGAACAAAAGTGGAATAGTGTGTGTCCATCAAATGATCTCTAATTTACCTAATTTGCAAAGACTGTGTGGTTTTGATACCCATTGTACATTACCATGCCCAGCCTCCGTGGATCTATCTCGCACTGGAACAAAAGTGGAATAGTGTGTGTCCTACCTTAACTCCGAAAGCCTAGCAAAGAACATTCTCCTAGGTTACAGTGTCTCTTTTATTTGGTTTGCATTGTTCCATTTTTGCTTTTTTCCAGTGCCTCTGCCCCAAGTGCCTATTTGGTGAAATGGTGAGCCTGTCATGGATTGGGGGTTTATTCTTTGATTGAAGGTAGTATTGAGTTATTAATCTATATACTCTCTTTATTTTAATATATACAAGCATGTGTTTATTAGAAGGGAAGAAAGATTCTGTTCTGAGAGAGTAGTTTAAAAATGCAGCAAGATGAAGTGTACGTGTGTGTTTGTTCTTTGAAACCCCTGTCTGCTTCCAGGTTAGAAATCCTTTCAGGGAACTATAATCCTGGTGTGATGTATTAAAAACCTCTCAGATTGAAAAGAAGCTCAGGAGACAACCAGTAATAATTCTGTGCAGCTTTTATTAAAAGCATGTATGCTCGATTCCGTGATTAAATGAAGCTGTGGTACGACTTTGATGGTGTGTGTCTGCTCATTCTCAAAGTCTGTACTAGAGAGAACTTTTTCTCGGACAGACTGTACAGTTCATGTCAGGGTGATTGTGCCATCCAGAGAAGGTGGCATGGGTCATAAATCCTCTCGGGAGAACAGACTGTCATCATTTAAGAGGCACAGTGACTTCTGGAATTTTGCTGTTGACAGCATGAAGACAGTATATGCGTTCCTGCTAGTCAAGTGATTTCTTTAAGTTTGATTATTTAAGGTAGGATTTCAGGGGGATGACAATCATTTGGGAGGAGGGTAGGTTTGAAACACACCTGTTTAACACTCTGGGGTTTTTGCTTCAGAACTTTAGCTCTGGTATGTTCCTTATTCCGTTATCAAGGCTTTACCCCTTCCTGTATCCTGTATCCCCAAAAGTACCTCTGTCAGAAGGAGGTAAGTGGTGTTTCTAGTCATTTGTATAATTGAATATGTTCTTCATTGTCTGGTTTCAGTGGTACATGCTTTTATGTTATCTTTTTTTCCCACTCATTCTTATTCTCACTACACTNTCATCACGAAGCACCATTACCAGGGAAAATTACTGTGATTACAATAGCAACAATAGAATACCCATCAAATGATCTCTAATTTACCTAATTTGCAAAGACTGTGTGGTTTTGATACCCATTGTACATTACCATGCCCAGCCTCCGTGGATCTATCTCGCACTGGAACAAAAGTGGAATAGTGTGTGTCCTACCTTAACTCCGAAAGCCTAGCAAAGAACATTCTCCTAGGTTACAGTGTCTCTTTTATTTGGTTTGCATTGTTCCATTTTTGCTTTTTTCCAGTGCCTCTGCCCCAAGTGCCTATTTGGTGAAATGGTGAGCCTGTCATGGATTGGGGGTTTATTCTTTGATTGAAGGTAGTATTGAGTTATTAATCTATATACTCTCTTTATTTTAATATATACAAGCATGTGTTTATTAGAAGGGAAGAAAGATTCTGTTCTGAGAGAGTAGTTTAAAAATGCAGCAAGATGAAGTGTACGTGTGTGTTTGTTCTTTGAAACCCCTGTCTGCTTCCAGGTTAGAAATCCTTTCAGGGAACTATAATCCTGGTGTGATGTATTAAAAACCTCTCAGATTGAAAAGAAGCTCAGGAGACAACCAGTAATAATTCTGTGCAGCTTTTATTAAAAGCATGTATGCTCGATTCCGTGATTAAATGAAGCTGTGGTACGACTTTGATGGTGTGTGTCTGCTCATTCTCAAAGTCTGTACTAGAGAGAACTTTTTCTCGGACAGACTGTACAGTTCATGTCAGGGTGATTGTGCCATCCAGAGAAGGTGGCATGGGTCATAAATCCTCTCGGGAGAACAGACTGTCATCATTTAAGAGGCACAGTGACTTCTGGAATTTTGCTGTTGACAGCATGAAGACAGTATATGCGTTCCTGCTAGTCAAGTGATTTCTTTAAGTTTGATTATTTAAGGTAGGATTTCAGGGGGATGACAATCATTTGGGAGGAGGGTAGGTTTGAAACACACCTGTTTAACACTCTGGGGTTTTTGCTTCAGAACTTTAGCTCTGGTATGTTCCTTATTCCGTTATCAAGGCTTTACCCCTTCCTGTATCCTGTATCCCCAAAAGTACCTCTGTCAGAAGGAGGTAAGTGGTGTTTCTAGTCATTTGTATAATTGAATATGTTCTTCATTGTCTGGTTTCAGTGGTACATGCTTTTATGTTATCTTTTTTTCCCACTCATTCTTATTCTCACTACACTTGGAATAACTCACAACTTTTTTTTTTCTGTGTTTTTCTAAGTACAAATGAAAACATGGCATTTAAAAAAGTGGCTGAAATACAGTTTTTGTTCCCTTTATCTAACTAAATACATTCAAGGTTTTAATGCTTTTCAAGGGAAAGGGGGAAACAGTTTTCCTTAGTGAATAATTTGTTTAAAAATAGTAAGCAATTCACTAGATATCAATTATGTTACCATATTGTTTTCTTTAGATAGCTCACATTTCTAATACTGAACCCATTATTCTTATCTCTCAAGAAAGAGGCTTGACTGTTAGTGACAAAGGGCTTTTCAAAAGCCCACACTGCCTATGTGCCAAAGTGCTTTCTTTTTTATTAAAACATAGTCTTGATATTCTGCAAAGGGTTTTTAATTTCTGGCATTTTAAACCTAATAGTCAAATTCGAATGGATTAATCATTAATTAAGTAGATTGCTTTTCATGTCTGATATCCCAGTAATACAGGAATCGTAAAATTATCTGAGAATAATTGGAAATCAGACTTTTGTCACTTTTGGGGAGACTCATTAGAAACTAATTCCATTCACTTTATAAAAATAGTAAATTTAGACCTTATTTTATTATTCAAGTATTTATACTTTATAGTCTTGAAAAATGAGGGCTTTGTTTTGTTTCTTTTGGATGAAAAGGCCAGAATATTAG